GGCGGGCCGGCGCAGCCTCCGGGCGGGGACCGAGAGTTCGCCGGCGGAAGGTGACGGAAGGTGGGTCGACATCCTTGGGTTGTTGCTACGGTAACACAGGTCCGAGTGATTTGGGGTCTTTGGCGTTGCCGTTGGCCGGCACTGAAGCCGAGCGAGGCGGAGGTCGGCGCCGGCTCGCCGCGGCGACAGCCGAGTCGAGGGGACGGCGAGAGCGAGCGCTCACGTTGAGGTTCGCCGCTCATCGTCACGGCTGCGCCGTGTCCTGGCGACGGTCGCCGCGGCCGTCGGTCCTTGCCGCGGTTGGAGGAGCGGAAACGCGGACGACAAGCGGGACGGCGGCTCTCCGGTTTGCTGCCGGTTGTTGCCCCGGTAACGCAAGCCACATTGTCCGCCAAGGTGGCACCGGGCGGTGGTCGCCGTGCTCGCGGTCCGGGTGGCAAAAAGCGTGCAGCCAAGCTGACAACGTGCGCGCGTGTGCGTGTGTGTCCGCACAGGAAGTTGCGTCACATTGTGGAGGAAATGGTGACAACGGAGCGCGAGTACGTGCGCTCGCTGCGTTACGTGATCGCTCACTACTTCCCCGAGATGGAGCGCGCCGACCTCCCGCAGGACCTGCGCGGCAAACGCTCGGTGGTCTTCGGGAACCTGGAGAAGCTTCTGGACTTCCACGCTCACATCTTCCTCCAGGAACTGGAGGCCTGCTGGAAACATCCGCTGCGAGTGGCCCACTGCTTCCTCAGACACGTACGGCGCACGCGCTCGCTCGCCCGCACCGGCGAACCGCCTCGCCGCTATGCTGACGCGCTCCAAGCCGACGCGACGTCACGGTCCGTCGGTTGACGAAGCTGTGCGCGTGTGTAGCAGGAGCAGTTCGGCCTGTACGCCCTGTACAGCAAAAACAAGCCCAAGTCCGACGCTCTGCTGGCCAGTCGCGGGCTCGCCTTCTTCAAGGTGAGGTCGCGGCCGCGGTGTGACCTTTGGCTTCTCTCCACGCGCGCCTGACCGTCGCGTGCGCCCGCGCAGAGGAAGCAGCGCGAGCTGGGCGACAGGATGGACTTGTGCTCGTACCTGCTGAAGCCGGTTCAGCGAATGAGCAAGTACGCGCTGCTGCTGGACGACCTCATCAAGGAAGCGGGCGCGGCGCAAGAGGCGGAGCGGACCTCGCTGCGGACGGCCCTCGCCGCCGTCAAGTTCCAGCTGCGCCACGGCAACGACCTCCTCGCCATGGACGCCATCCGCCGCTGCGACGTGCGTCCGCCTCCGGCCGAGTCGCGACACCCGTCCGGGCCGTCGGCTAACGGCGGCCCGACCCCGACCGCAGGTCGACCTGAAGGAGCAGGGTCGGCTCCTGCGCCAGGACCGCTTCACCGTCTGGAGCGGGAGGAGGAAGCGCGACAGGCGGGTCTTCCTCTTTGACGAGCTGCTGCTCCTCAGCAAGGCCAAGAAGATGGACGGGGGCCTCGACGTCTTTGAGTACAAGCGCTCCTTCAAGGTACGCGCGCTCGCTTGCCGCTCCTCCGCTTTTGGCGTCCTTGCCGCGGGCGGGGACGGCGTCCGTTTGCTTCCCGTCGAGAGTGCGCATCACGGGGGTGGCAGCGTTCTCGAGACGGAGGAAGGGCTTTTCTTCTCGCGTCCGACTCCGCACTCGCTCGCCAGACTTCGGATTTGGGCCTGACGGAGTCGAAGGGGGACGACGGCCTCCGCTTTGAGATTTGGTTCCGAAGGAGGACGGCCAAGAACCAGACCCTGACCCTGCAGGCCGCCAGCGCCGACGTCAAGTGCGCCTGGACGCGCGAGCTGGCCGCCATCCTGTGGACGCAGGCCACCAGGAACAAAGGTGAGTGGCGGCCGGCGCCCGGCGGCGCGCTCGCTCGCGGGGGGGCGTGAGTGAGCCGCGGCCGCGCGCGTGTGTGCGCGCAGAGGCGCGTCTGAAGGAGATGCTGTCCATGGGGGTGGGCGACAAGCCTTATTTGGACATCCGGCCCAGCGCCGCCGCCATCAGCGACCGGGCCGTCCGCGACGTCGCCAGGATACGAGGTACGGCGCCCCGTCCCGTCGCCGCGCCTCCGAAATGCCGTTTGCGGGAGACTGACGACGTTTCTGAGCGGGCTCCGAAGTGGAGCGTTGACGACAAAGCTTTCGTTCGTCCCACTCGCGGCGATTTTTCTTCATGCGCGCATCAAACGGTCGTTTGAATTCGGGAAGGCCTGTCGCCTTGGCTCTTGCTGAATGACGGGAAAGGTTTGGTGTGTGCGCTCGCCCCCTCCGCGCAGGTGCCAGGATGCGAGCGTCCATCGCCGTCTCGGCCTCCGATTGCGCCGCCCCTTTCTCCTCCGACCCCTCGTCGGCCGGCCTGCTGGGCTCCCTCGACCTGCACGTGATGCGCTCCCGGACGTCGGGGGGCGACGTCGAGGAAGACGAGCTGGAACGCGACACCGCCAGCCAGCGCTCCGTCAGTACGTTTGGCCAACACACTCGCGCTGCGCTCACTTCTCGTCGGATACTTTAGCGCTCACTTTGTCTCCGGCAATCCCCCCCCAAAAGCTTCAGTGGTGCCTGGACCACCCTCGCACCAACTCAAAGCAGCAGTCGATCCTCTTGCCGTTTAGCGGGCAGCGCAGTGTAACTCGCTTCTCTTTGACGATGGTTGTTTTTGGCGGAGGATCAAGAAGATACGCCCCCTCGCCTTGTCGTCGCGTCTTGTTTGACTCGCTGCTTTGAGACGGTGTCATTTTTGCGCTCATCGCTTTGAATCTGGAGCCCCAAGTGAAATTCAGCAGGGTTTTTTAGATTTTTCTTTCCCTTCAGTGCGCAAGCCCAATTTGTAGTTAGGCCAATCAAAACGCCAGGCGAACTGGGGACGGTTTCCCGCGGCACCCCTGACCGCGTCGTCTCTCGCGTTGTCTCGGCAGCCACCGACAGTTCGGGCTCGTCGTCGCGCTGCCAGTCGGGGTCGACCGGCTCCGACTCCGGGTGCGTCTCCTCCACGCCGCGGGACCCGAGCTCCGCCTCCTCGGGCTCCTCCCACAAAGCCGTGAGTCGCGCACACGCACACCCCATTTGAATGACATCGCGTGCTGAAACGGCCGCCGGTCCTCAAGGGGGCGGCGCCCGTCGGCGGCCCGACGACCTCCGTGTGAGCGACGGTCGCCCGTCCTCTTCGGAACGAGGGGCGCTTCGTGCGGACGACGTGCGCCGTCGCCGGGGCGACCGATACGACAAAGGTTCCGAAAGCTTCGACTCGATGCCCGTTCCTGACTGCACGGCCGTTTCGTGGCTGCGGCGACTTTTTTTTGTCGTCTGTTCATGCGCCTGCACTTTTTTCCACACGAATGAGTTGAAAAATAAATAAATATTTTTAAAAAAGAGGCTGTGACTTGTGTTGCTGAGTACTCGTCGTTCTCAACAAATGTGGCAGATCCAGAAAGTGAAAATTTCCAGCCTGAGTTTGGCTTGAGCTTCGATTCAAGCGGCAGGGAAAGGAGCTCCCTCCCCCGGGAGCCTGCAGGAGTCGATGCTGAAGCCAAACTCGGCCAGGGGGTTTTGCTCTCTGGCTCCGGATTTGCCACCTCTGCTTCGCGTGGTGGGCCTCCGTGTTGGCGCAAAAGTGGGACAGAGGCCTTCCTCAAATGGTCACAGAACAAGGAAGCGCGCGTGCGGCAAAAACCTCAAATGAGACAAACGGGTGGAAAGAAAAAAAAAATTGGGATTGTGGGAAAACAATAGGCCAAGGTTGACGAGTCGATCTGACAAGAAAAAAAGAAAAATACTCGACAGAATACTGCCGGCTGTATCAGAGCAAAATTCCTAATTGGACAAAACGTCATTTTACAGCAATAGAGGGCTCCGATCTTTGAGCAATTACCCGCAATGCACTCCCGGCGGCCATATTGGAGAGCTGTTATACACAAGCCATACACGTGTGTGTCTGTGTGTGTGTGTATAACATGCCCTCCAACATGGCCGCCGGTAGTGCATTGTGGGTAATTGCTCAAAGGACGGAGCCCTCGAGAGGCAAAAAAAAAAAAGTGTCCCCAAGTAGCGATTCAATGAAAATGTCCCCCCGCCCAACTCAAAAAAGGCAAAAAAATTGTGTCCAAAAAAAATGTGCGTCAAACGACACAAAGTTTCTTGAACTTGAAAGTGGCACATTTGCAGCACCCGCAAATGAAGCCGACGCCGAGAGGCGCAACGCGGAAGCTCAAAAGAACCGGATCGGGGATCGGAGCTCGGACTCGGGATCGGCTTCGGTCATTGTGCCCTCTGCTGGCGAAAAGCAAGACTGCGGGAGGGGGGGAAACGGATTGCGGACGGTAAAAAAAGCAAACGTTCATTCACAAAAAAAAGAGGGGGGGACCCCCCACCCCAACTCAGTCAATAATGGATCACGAAGAAACGTCTGACCGTTACCCGTTTTGTGACCCACCAAAAAAAGGAAATCTCAACAAATAAAGCTCGATGAATGTGCGTATCGTGCTGGTTGGGCAGTTCTGGGGGAAAAAAAAAAATACCTCCAAAGTTGTGGCGTTCCAGGTGGGCGGGGGGACCGGCAAATGACGAATGATTGGCAATCATTCGCTCAGTCAGTCCAAAGGGAGATTTATGGCTTCCACCAATCAGGTGAATGACAGAAAGGTGCAATCAATCAAGCTTTTATTGTGAAAGCGCCGCCCTTTCCCTTTCCGCCCGTCACCTGACGACGCGTTTCCGGGCCGAAGAGCGCGGCGACTCGGACATCGCCACGTGCGACCGTTCTTCGGGCCGGCGACCCTTTGACAAAAGGCGCACCGAGGGCGGGGGTGGGGTCCGGCGACACATTCAGAAGTTGCTCCGCCGCAGACAGCGGCACCCGCAGCCGGCCGGGCACTGCTCCTGCCGCCGGAACCAGTCCATCATGTGAGCCGTGTGGCCGCCGTGGCCGCAGCTGAGGCAGAAGTGGGAGGAGCCTCGCACGGACACGTGACACACCACGCACCGGAAGCTGAGACGCTTGCACGCCGCGCACTGAGTGCCGCGGCTGGGACTCCCGCAGTGGCAGCACAACACGCGCAACCCTGAAAGCACGAGCGCGGGTGAGCCGCGGCCGGCGGTCGGATGCCGACGTCGCGCGGAATGCGGAGGACGCGAGCGCCGCGACGTACCGACGCCTTGGTGCGGCTCGGCCGGGCAGGAAGCGAACTTGAGCACGTCGGCCCGCTTGTCCCGGAGGTCCCAGCGATACAGAATTTCCGCATAGCATTTCTTGAAGTCGTCAAACTGCGGCGCGCCGGTCGGGTTCAAAAGTCTGCGGAAGTGACATCACCACATTTTTATTTAGGGATTGTGGGGGTGGGGGCGGAGTTTCACCTTTTGTTCATGTCGTGCTGCTCTCGCTCCCGCAGGTCGGCGTGTCCCTGGTTGCCGTGGCGGCCGTCTTCGGGGGACTCGCTGCGGGCGCCGGCCTGTTCCGGGGTGTCCCGACACGCAAAGGTCACCGCGGGCTCGCTCGGGCCGGGCTGGACAAGAGCCGCGAGACGTCACTTCCCGCGTCCCGACACGGCGACCGCCTGTCGACGACATCGGGTGCCCCCCCCCCCGCTTGCCGGCTCCAACATCTGACGTCGCGGCCGCCGGGTTCTGACCGAGCGAGCCCATGAGATGGCGCGGGCGCGTCCATACTTACGTAACGCGCCGGGTGGGCCTGCGGCGCGGCGTGCGGGCGGTCGGGGCCGGACTCGGTGAAGACGCTGCACAGCATGGCGAGCGTCTGCACGTCGCTCATGCGACTGTAGTGCTCCACGCTTGGGGAAGACGACGGCGGGTTAGCGGCGAGCCCGATCGGCGAGCGGCGCGATCGGCGAGCGGCGCGACCGCCGGCGACTCACAGCGTCTCCAGCAGGTTGCGTCCAAACGGATGACTGGCCCAGGGCGCCTCGGCGTCCGGGTCCGAGTCGGGACTCAGGCCCCGGCCGGTCGCCGCCGAGGCCAGGGCCCAGACCTGAAGGCGTGCGCGCAAATATTAAGGTAGACAGACGTTTGCGCGCGGCGCGGTCACGTACCTTGGCCACGTCTCGGCGGCCGGCGGCCAGCGCGGCGGCGGCGTTCTTCTGACACGTGTCCTCGGTGTCGCGCGTGTTCAGGCTGAGGGGAGGAGCGACAACGTGACGTCGACACCTTCTCGGCGGCGAGAAGGGAAGCGCGCGGCGGGACGTGACTTGCGGTCAGGCTCCGCCCACTCACACGTAATTCTCTCCCAGAACTTTGTGGACGGGAAGCAGGCAGGAGATTTCCTGGACGATGACCTTCCCCGCCAACTTGATGGAGCGGCCGTCGCCGACGTCCCTCTTGCTCTTGAAGCGCCGCGATTTCTGGAGGACGCGAGCGCACCGCGCGCGCTCCTTTGAAAAACGGGCCGGGAGGCGCGTACGGGACGTGCGCGTGGCCGCGCATTTCCATGATTCGAACTCTGAGCGCGAGTGCCGAATTGGTGCGCCGAGTCCGGACGGCCCGAACGCGCGCGTCGGATGCGGCGCGCCTCACCCGTTCTTTGTAGTAGAAGGAGGAGATGGACACGGTGTCTTTGTCGGCTCGGGTGGGGCTGCCGCTGTAAAGTCGGAGCGCGTTCTGAGACTCGGAGCGAATCTTCATGGGCGTCAACACGCCGCTGTGGTAGGCCGACAGAGCTGACAGCGACCTGACGCGCACGGCAAACACACGCGCGCGCGTGAAAACATTGGCCGGCGGGCGCCGAGGCGCGGCGCGCGCGCGCTACCTGGGTGTGGGCTCGGTGGGCGGGGCCACGCGGTGCATGGTGATGGGCCGGGTGAAGTAAACCAGGCAGCCGGTGCCGCAGAAGCGGGCCCCCGACGTGCGCGGGAAGGGAATGTTGGCGTCCTGACGGGAGCGGCGCTTCAGGCACGAGCAAAAGCAAAGGGACCGACGCCGGCGGCCGAAGCGCTTCCCGGCGAGGGCGCCGAGTCGACGCGACGCAAATCTCCCGCGCGGGTTACCTGGTAGGACCCGTAGGTGTTGACGACTCGCGGGAAGGCCTGCAGCGCCGGAGCCACGGGATTGGACAGCACGAAAGGTCCCGAGGACGGGCCGTCTTCCTGCGAGGACGACGCACGTTGAACAAGCTCCTTACTCATCCCTTCGTTTCACGTTTTGGTGGCGGGGGGGCGGGGGCCTCCCGGTTTGCAGCACGGCAGCGGCTCGCTAAGCCGACTGGCCTCTTCTCACCGCGTCCGACTCAAGACAGGACACCAGCTTCCGGACGCAAGGTTCCAGGCAGTTCTGGTTCCTCTTCACCTTCTGCAGGGACACGTCGGTCAGGATCTGAAAGGCAAGACCGGCACGTGAGGACGTCGCGAGGGGGGGCGGGGGGCCGCGTACAGTACTTTGTGGATCTTGGTCTTCATGGCGGCAGAGATGCTGGTCGGGGAGATGAACTGGAAGGTGGGGGCGCTGTTGTTGGGGTACTGTCCCGGGAACTTCATGAGCAGGCGGACCTGATGAGTCCCGAAGTGAGCCGACACCACGCAGCTGCAGTTCACCGCGTCCATCTCCGCAAAATTGGAAAAGGTACGAGTAAGTCACCGACGAGGCGGCGTCCGCCATCGCGGCCCGCGCGCCGGCGTCTCACCTCCACGTTGACGTTCCTGATCTGCAGGTTGACCAGAGAGAATTCCTGCTGGAGCGTCTGAGCCAGTCCGGAAGACGCCGCCGCCGCCGAGTCCCGCCCGCCGCCCGCGCGAGAGACGCCGTCGCGATCTGAAGGGGACGGAGCGTGGGGGTGACCGATACCGGCGAGTCGGGCGCGGGCAACGGGCAAAAGCGGGGATGGGAATCGGGCGGACGCTTCGCGCTTCTCTTTGGCCGAGCGAAGGAACGAATATGAGGTGCTTTGTTTGCTTCAACTGGTCGACGCCTTCAAGCGAGGACGGAAGCCGCGTCGGGCTCCGCGCCCGTGCTCTCCTCCGGCCGCCTCGGGTGGCTTTGACCCCGCCCGTTTGGATTGGAACGCAACTCGACGATCGTGACGGCACCAGACCCGATCTCAAATTTGAGGTCCATCGGGGCGGGGGGGCGCGCGCGAGCTCTCCCGCCCCGTCTTGCGCCGGCGAGCGGCACCGCGTTTTCCCCACCGTGCGGATGAGGCCCGACGGCGACTCTGGCGTGCTGTCCCTCCGAATCGGCGGACGCGGGCGACTTGTCCGTCTCGGCGACGGCAGATGCGCCGTCCGTCGGCTGGTCGGCCGGGTCGCTGACGCACAGCTGCGGCACGACAACGACAACGAGGATGAGACATCGGGACGGCCGCTCGGTTGGCGGTTCGAGCTTGACCTTCTGCAGCTGCGGGTCCAGCCTCCAGATCCTCAGC